CTTCATGTTCAAACAGGCAAGCTATTGAGTTTACACCACCTGTTAGTCAAGATGTCCCAAGATCAAACCTAGAAATGGGTGAGGAATGTGAGGGAAGGACTCGTGGAAATAGGAGACAGGAAGTGAAGTGGACCTTTTGCTGGGCTGGAGCAGAAGGGAGATGTCTATAAATCCATTTCACAGGTGGAGCATGTGTGTGTCACCCCGAGGGGCTGCAGCCTGAATAAAGGCACTCCTCTCCCTCCTCACCAGCCTCTAGTGCAAGCTGACTCTAGCTTTCTGCATCCTTTTACTGATTATTCCACTTGCACTTCTAGCACATGCTGCTGAGCTATCCAGTCCTCACCGCCCTATCTCTATAACCTTGAAACCTAAAACTAGCTCCAGAGACCTTTATCTGTGAATAGCACAAATCAAATGAGCCCAAAAGTGACAATAAAGGAGCAATAATTAGGCCTGTGTGTTGAAACAGCACGTTTTAACTCCATCCCCAAAGTGCTCCCCTCCCCCCACCTTCCCCTCTCCTTTGGCAGCTTACCTTCTTTGGGTGGTCGCTTGGCCTCCCTGGTAAGATTGCAGACTTGGGTGGTTTGCAGCTCCTGGGTCAGGCAGCCCTCTGTCTGCTCATTCAGGGGTAACACCACATTATTTAACAAAACCAGCGACTGGTCGTCGATCCCCCACTCTCCCAAATGCTGAGGGCAGGTGCATTTTGTATACATGATCCCACATGATTCTGTTCTCCCATTTTCTGATTTTAAGCAGCTCTCCAACCAAGTGCATAATACATGGCAACCAAACTGGCTTGGGCTGACCTTGTTCAATACCAAAAACTCAAAAAACGATTTCTGATCTTCTTCCCCTTTTTTCTGTAATCCTGGGAAATCAGTTGGAAATACTCGACGTATTTGAATAAAATTTTTATCATACTGTAGAAAAACAAAAGCATTCTTGGAATTGCAGAGTTGCATTATAGAATGATTCTTTCTTAAAAGATCCTTTATTTTTTCATGGGAAAAATGATCAAACTGATAAGCCAGGAGTGAAAAGTTAGAGCAGCTAAGGTCCTTTTTGGAAAATTTCAGGTAAATGCTATATTTGGTTGGATCTGGATTTTCCAGCGTCCAAGTGCAGTTTGTAAAGTTTTTGGGAAACATTTCACTTACAGAATACGATCCATAAATGACTCCCTTCACCAAAGTTGAACACCAGAAGTCTTGGGCAGCATTAAATCCAAACATAACCAGGAGATAGGTGGAAAATATATAAATCAGCAGGTTACGAACAGCCTTCATCCTATGTCATTTGGCCTGTAAAAATGGCAATGAAAGTCAAATAGAAGTAGGAGTCTACACGCATTAAGAAAATAAACTCCTTTCAATATTACAGCCAGCTGTTTTCAAGATTTCAGCAAAAAACCCTTTTTAAAAGAAGGGCAGGTAATTTTTATTTTGCAACACGGAAAAATTATCTGTTGCTGTGTGAACAGCGCCCTCATGTGGCCATTCACAATGGTCAAATTCGCAACATTCAATTTAAAAATAACATTTAATAGATTATTAATAGGAAAACCCTAACTTATCTACCAGGATTTCCTCCATGTCCATTATCATCCTATAGAATGAAAAGGGAAAACATGGAGTTTTAAAACATCGTAATCTAAATGTTAATTGTCAAAATATTATTAATCAGTCTACAGTCTATACAACCTTTTCTCTCGCTGTCCTCTGCCTGCAGTAAACATCATCACACAAAATCTCATCTGATAATCTTCGAACAGCTGTCATCACATTATTTCTCTTATCTTAAATGTGAAAAGTAATTATGATAAATTATGGCTACATTTTTAAAAGCACAAATGATAATTTGTTACAGATGGAACGTCATCTCCCAAATGCCCCACTTGCCTTTGCAGGGGCCACCATGTGAACTGCTCAGAAATTCCTTTGCAAAAACATGGGCATTCATGTGGATTAATTAATTTTAAAAGCATCATTTGAGAAAGGGCATAGGTGGATAAATACAGTGGGGAAACTTGTTGTTCAACATTACCATTAAGAACCAGGATTTAAGGCAGTCATTTCAATGTGACATGCCCTCTTGGGATACATAAAGTGGATCACTATATTAGTATCTGTATCCAAAGGTGATGTCAGTAAAAAAAAATTCCAGAGCCATACTAATTGAGCTGGCCTCAGTCTTTTAATTTTTGAAAAATTATCAACTGTAATTTAAGGTTTCCACATGGTAATGAAATACATTGACATTTTTGTCCCTAGCAGATTTCAGTTATTGAATTGCTCCCTTTCCAACAACAACTGCGAAGCTCCTCTTTCCTTTTTCTTTATTTTTTAATTTCAACCCTGGCCTTGGATAATAAAGTAGTCCTTGGTTATATTTACCTCTGTTAAGTTGTTATCCAAAAATAACTTGAATACTTTTCAGCTTTAACTTTTAAGAAGTTATTTCTTAGAATAAATGACACTGCTTTTTGTTTGTTTGTTTGTTTAGCCTTTGAGCTGATAAAAGTGATGCCAAGTTAATTTTAAAATTCTTTAGGCTGCAGTCTCTTCCACTGTTCTGTAAACAGAGACAGACATACAGACATATAGATAGTTAAGAGTTTTCATGCCTTTGCCTGGGTCTTCTCTGAACCAAAGGATAAAACCCTCTTCCTTCCCATTGCATAACACACACCAACGCATGCACACCAAATCCAGTGACCGAAGTCCCTGAAGATAGATCTGCATTTTCCAGATTATAATTCAAATTCTATGTCTTGATATAGGCAAACACAGCCCCAACTCTAAATCTCTATATAGCAGCCGTTTAAAATAGCATCAGAACTGCTGGGACCATCAAAACAGTGTTCTCTGTTTCAAGCAAATAGCTCAATGAATAATGCATTTTCTTCACGGAAAAATAAAGCCAATGAGCATTTAAAGGTTAAAAAAAAAAAAAACAGAGAAAGTTGTAAGAAATTCTGGAAATAATTTCCTATTTTTTTGCTGTAGCACTTTGCAGGCAATGCAGGTCTGCGCAGTGTTCTTCAGGATAGAGTGTAGGCGTTGAGAGCCAATGTGACAATAAGAGTCTAAATTAGGAATTCCATCCATGAAAGGGGGCTTCATTTTCTAATCAGGAACTCAAAAAGAGGTCGTATGTCTTTTCTTAATGAAATTGGTACTTTTGCTTCCATTTATTTGACAGTGCATGTCTGCAATGCCGTGCTCATCAATGATCAGAAAGAATGAGGAAATAGCTCTGAATTCACTTTAATTCCTGCTCAAGAGAGCGCCCTCAATATAATGCTCTTTATTTTTAATCGGTCTGGAGTACAGAGTCTTGTTTTGTTGTAAATAATAAGAAAAAAATCATTCCTCCACCCCCCTTTAGACCGCAGGGCCCGTTCAAAAAACTGTATTTCCCTCTTAAAGAAGGGGTGGGGGCGGGGGTGAAGGCTGGCCACGGAGGTGTCAAGGATGTTTTATTTATTTATTTATTTATTTACCTCTTGCTGAGAAGCAAACCAGCATTGAGTTTAGCTATTCTCAAAACTGATTTTCTGGGTGACACTTTAGTTTAGTTGAACATAGACGGCGCCATCACTCCACAGATTTTTCCCCCCAGTAGAAGACCCACTGCCTTTTCTTAACTTCCTTTTAACCTAAAATTTTTCCCCCCATAAAATTACCCCAATCACGCAAAACTGCCAGATTTTCTAGGTCTCTCTACTTATTCCTTCCGACCCAGCACCTCTCTTGAAAACCAGACTTCTCTAACTTTTCAACTGCGGCGTTTAGACAGTCGGATTTGCTCACAGCCTCCCCATCCGCCAGCAACAGCCTTTCCTTTCCTTTTCCTCCCTTCTCAAACATCAAGCCCAAAGCTTCACGGGGGGAGACCCCCAGCAGAGAGAAGGTGACCCCCGGACCCCCTTCCTTACCTTCCACTCCGAAAGCTCAGGGAGGCTCTTGCTCTAAGACACCAGCACAGGCACGCGTCCCAGCAACAGTGACGGAGAGACTCCCCTTCGGTCCCAATCACCGTTGCCCATTTTCCCCGGCTCAGCTTCCAAAATCAGGATTTATTTTTAAAAACGCACACATACGAAAAGCAAAAGGTGGGGGGGAGACCAAAGACCAAAGGAGGGGCAGTAAAAAAAAAAAAAAGCCACTAGGAGCCCAGAGCCTGGCGCCGTATCCAACTGAATCCAACCTCCAAGCCGAGGGGGACTAAGGGAGGGAGAAGCCCCCCCAAGGGAGACTCTATGGAACCCCCCCAAAATGTTAAGTGGCTTAAGAGCGAAGATTTGTTTCATAAAATCTACCCCCAACAAACCGATTAGCCAAGAAGCAAAGAAGGCGCTGAGACGAGAAGTGACTGGTGGCGGCGGCGGCTGCTATGGCAGATTTGTTGGGGCGGTGGGTTTATGACAGGAATATTCGTGGTCGGATCGGAAGGCTCAAGCTCATGCTTTTTCCTCTTTCTGCTTTCCTCCCTCCTCCTCCTCCTCCCCCCTGCAGGTACTGATGGACGGACGGCGACTAAGGAGAGGGGGAAAAATCCTTGGCTGGTGATGTCGGAAAGCTGTTTGAATGCCCAGCGAGGAGGGAGGCGCGAGAGGGAGCGAGATAGTAAAGCTGTGTCTCGGGTGTGCGCGCCGGCGCGCGGTGCTCGCTCTCCCTTGGGCGCGCGCGCGCGCGCGCGCGCGGGGGGGGGTTAGGGGTTGTACGTGCCACGGGAGCGCGTCCATGCGGCGGCCTCCCGCGTGCTCGTGGGCGCCCGCGTCCCGGGTGCCGCGCGCCCCTCTCCGGCACAGCTGCGGTGCGCACTGCCGCCCGCCAGAGGCTCGCGCGGCAAGGCCGCCGCGACTTCCCGGAGTTCTGCCTCTCGGGGGCGCGGGCGGGAGTGTGAGAGTGAAGGCGAGGGGAGCCGAGAGGTGGGAAAGGAGGAAGGGGGGAGTCTCGGCGGGAGGGCGGGGGAGAGGCAGGCGGGAGGGGGCTCCGAGGAGCTCCAGCCAGGGCCGCGGTGCGCCTGCACGTCACGGCTGCTCAAACCCAAGCACGTCCCGAAAGCGGTATTTTCTGCGTCTGGGAGGTTTTTGCATCCTCAGTTCCCACCGCTGGGGCTGGCGGCGACCAACTGTAAGAGAAACGCACTAGGAGGCAAGGCAGGGGGGTGCGGAGGATGGGAAGGGGACTCTGAAGGGTGGGAAGTGAATGCAGGGCTTGATCGTCGTTTTCTTTCTGTCTTTCAGCACGGACCTGACGTAGCCAGAGAGCTGTCATTTCAGCACCGGGATTCCGAATTGATCCAGTTCGCAGTGGAGGGGGCACATCCCAGCTCCCGAGCTGCTGCGTGTCTCTCGCTGGAACAATAGTAGTTTTTCTCTGGGAGGCTGCAATTAACATCTTATTTGTTCTGGCTCCATACAGGCTTTGTCAGGACCGCGGTGCGGCGACCGAGGTTGGGCTCTTGCATTTCTTTCTGCTTGGCAATGGAATCATGGTTTCCGGGTCTAAACTTTTGTTTTGTAGTCTTAATGTATCTGATTCTTTTTCAAGTTTCCTTAGTAACAGGTTTGGGGACGGAGTGGAAAGAAAAGAGAAAAGGGGTGAAGAGAAACAACCAAATTATATAGAAGGGAAAAGAGATAAGTTTCCCTACCTTTTAATTTATCTATCTGCCTGTCTATCCACCATCTATCAGTCATTTTGCCTCCTGGACAGTTGGCTGACGAAGTGTTTGATAAACTAGCTCAGATACATGCTGCAAAAGGTCATTCTCCTCCTGATTATGTCTCTACTTGTAAACGCAGTTGGTGGGTTGCAAAACAAGTGCTAAAATAGTGCAGTGATGTGGTGGGAGGAAACCATAATGGGCAATTGATATAAAGTGTTGGAATCTTCTTGAGGGTGACATTCTCCAGCGGCAGGTGAAGTTGAATAAAGCAATTTTCCATCATTTGTTCTCCTCACTCTTTTGCATTTTTTTCCTCCGCTTGTTGTTTCTCTCCCCCGGGGCGATTGTGGATAGCCAAGAACACCATTTTAAAAGAGGCTGATAGTGAAAACAGGAAGATGTTGATGGTCTTTTATCCACTGGAGTTGTTTGAAATGTTGTAATTGGCCCTTTACTTCTTAATACATATTAATAGAGTGACTCGTTTCAAGGCTTTCCCTTTTTAAACGAGTGCCTGCAATAACACTCTGTTAGGCAAACAGTTAATCATTCCCCAGCAGGCTTTAACTATTTTCCCAGTAACAAATCACCGGCAAGAGAGCAACCTGGGTGGCATTTTGGTTTTGTGGCATTTTGGTTCCTTACAATATTTTTTATTCATTTAAGGAAATGTTAAAAGGAAATAGGGTTTATGTCCAGAACAAATTTTGAAACATCATTTAAGCAAACATATTTTCTTTTAAAAACAAAGAACATTGAGCAACACAAAGGAGAAAAACATCTCTATTTCAACTTCCCTGGAGATTGTAATGATGATTTTTGCAAGGCAATTTAGTTAGTTCTGTTACTTTACCCAGATGAAAAAAAAAATCATGATAGATGTGGAATAAAAATAGAGAAAAAATTCTCTGGATGGTTTATACATAAAAAGGAAGTAATGTAATGTGAAATTCAGTTATAGTTCTATTTTTCATGTAGTGATTTCTCATATTATCTTTTAACACTTGATTTTGATGTTTCTTAGAAATTCTTAGTCATGACACAGTGGCATAAGAATAACTGTTGAAAGGGACAATTTAAAAGTCTTAATGCTAAATGGAAAGGACCACTTACTCCTAGGATCATTTATATTCAAGTAGAATGCAGGGCAGGGTCAGAAAAGAAAGCCACCCTTAATAAAGCGCTTCACCCTTCACACTGTTTCTCATAACCTTCATAAATTGCAGGCGACCGAGCTGGTCTGATGATGATCCTGCTGAGATATATTTATAGCAGATGATTTGTGGATGATAAATATGCCAAGCAAGACACAGTCTCCAGCAACCCCAGGCTCGTCTGACTTCCTCAGGGGATTATAATCAAGTATCACAAAAAGAACCCTATATGGACAATCTGGTCTCTGGACACTAACAACAGCACAATCCAAAGGCAAACCAAGGGGGAACCACTTTGTTTCATGTCTGCAAGATGCTCCATGTGAAAGCATTGCTGACATGTTGACCCAAAAGCAAAAAGAGAACAGCAGTTTATACACCTCAGCACTCTGTCCTTTCAGTACTATTGATGTTGGTCCACTTCTATGATTTAATACATATTAAAATCACCATTTCAAATTATTATCTGCTTTCATTGGTCTCTTTCACAAGTCCAAGTGTGTTTATGTTTATGTATATACACATATACATACATTTTATACATGTGTGTATGTATGTACACATTTGTAAGTACACATACACATATATATAGAATATGTATGTGTATTTCAGTTGGTACACATATATTTGGTTGGGAAGTTTCACTACATTGCTTTGTATTTCTCTTTGATAAAGTAATGCATTTCATTTCAAAACTGCCAAATTAATGTATAAACTGATTATTATGTAAGTTTCCTTGGTGACTTACAAAAGGACTATGGAGAGGCCAGTGTTAGCACATCAAAATATAGAGGGGTATTGTATTTTAGTTGACTGAGGTATCTAATGTTAAAGGCTTTCAAATTTATCTCTCCTATTAATTCATTTTATTAAGATTACTTTGGAATAATGAGGTTTCTAAGTATAATTTATCTCTATTTTTCACCTTTTTGTGTGTTTTAAGTTTAGTCCCTCCATTTTGAGAATAACCCTATACTCCGGGATGATTGTTTAAAATTCAGTATCATTGCACAATTCTATTTAGTAAGAATGTTTCTAGAATATGCTTGGTTAATTGTAGAAAGTGTTTTCTGGTTTTTCTCTTATAGTCTTTCTGGTATTACTGTATTACCACATTCTAAATTCTGTAACTTGTTATTTTCAGTAAGGCTTTAAGAAGCACAGATAGGTTTGTAGGTTACTTCTTGTTAAATATGCCTTAATTTTTTAGTATTTGGTATTTAGATATATACATATCCCCTATATATATATATACACACACACATAAATGATGTGTATTAGATTATATATATTAGATATATACATACCCACATATATACATTAGATTATATATATTAGATATATACATATCCCCAATAATAAAAAATTAAGGCATATTTAATAAAAAAGTACTATATATATATATATATATATATATGGGAGATACACACACACACACACACACGCACACAAAGTTTTTGGAATGTTAATTAAATGATCAAAATATTACAAGATTACATTGTTATGAGTACTTAACTTACTCTTAAAATTAGCATATTTACGATAAACAGAAACAATTTCTTCCTCTTCTTCTCTGACTCCTCCTTATTATTATTATTATTAAAAAAGGAAGTATCTCAGGAACCAAGCTGTATTTCCTCTAGTAACTGTATAAAAACAAATTGGTCATATTCTACCTAGACATCCCAGAATAGAAAGTACATAAAAGTACTAAAAAATAAAGGGATAGAGTTGGGGTTAAAGGAGATGTCATAGAACAGCTATCCTGGGTTCGTTCAAGTGTAACCCTATTCCATGCTAGACAAACGCAAGGTTAAATTTAGTCCAAAAATCCCAGTTACATCAGGTTTCAATTTTTTATCACTATTCCCCTATACAATGATACAAGTTAAAAAACAGTTGGTAAATGCTTTTGGCCATCAATTTTCAAGGTTTTATTGGTGGCATTCAGGAAATGCCCTAAGTAGATAACACATAATGTCATATTTGTGTGTTGTAGCAACATCTTGGAAAATATGGAGTTTAAAAGCTCACAATGTGTCTTTGTAAGGAAACATAAATTTACTTCTAAATTTATCCTTTTTCAACTACTTTGTTTTTCATGTAAAGTTACTATACTTACATCATTATCTTTAATCTCTGAAATTTCAGTTATACTAGAAATCAAGATTCTTCATTCCTCATTAAGGACAAGAAGCTGTGAATTCTCTGGACTTCAGTTATCTCACAGAAAAGAGCTTGATTGAGTAATGTCTAATGTTCTTCCTGACATATTCTAAATAACAGAGGGTGTCTCACAAGAAATAGAAGCAGGGAGAGAAAAATGCAACAAAATCCTAGACAAGAAAGAATCAGTTTTTTCACTCACAGGCTGGGAATGCCTCTCTATTCTATCATAATTTGAACACCTCCATAGTTTTACTAGCTTTGCCCTTCCCACCTTGCTATCATCTGCTGATGTACAGACAGTCCTTTCCATTTTTATTATTCTCCCACTCTAATAATTTTCTTTTCTTAGACAGACTTTACCATTAATGATGACAGTAACTAAAGCTGCCAGGACCAGCACATCTGCTGACCTTTATCAACACCAGGTAATGAAGTCTCTGGACCACCCATTATTTCTGAACATTCGTCGATATTCAGCCCTGTTCCTACCAATTCTGATCCACTTATCTCCACCATTTCTCTTCCCGCCATATTCTCTCATTTTGCCTTCTGGATCTCCATGCTCCTTTATACCAACAAACAAGAGGAAGAATATTCTCTCTATCCACTTCGTTAACTGAAGCCTGCTCTTTTATGAAGGCATGGCATCTCTTCCAACTATGTCAAACAGAAGAAATTTATGGGTATGCTGCTTCCACACTCTGATTAAATGGGTCAGTGGCAGAATCAGTATCCTTACTCTACCCTTTGGTTTCACATCTTTACTCCTCATTTCACTTTCGTGCCCACCTTTTTGTAGAGATCATGGCATCCGCCTTTGCCAGCTTTACCTCTTCCCCCAGGTTATATTTTCCAGTCATGGAATGTTTTAGCTGCCAGCTCACAGTTTTCCTATCTACCTGACTTCCATTCCTCTTCTCATGCAGATGTCTTATCCTGACACACTAGCTTCATTCTATTTCTGGTTTGTTTGTTTGTTTGTTTTTAATACCAGTTCAACCACATTTCCCTATGGTCTTTAACTAAAAAGTCTAACTAGTGACTAAACCACTTCCAATATTTAAAATTTAATGTTTAAATTATCTAATTACAACCTTCTACTTTTATAAACTCACCTCCTAAGTAACCACATGAAATCAAGTCTTTCACAAAATTCAGATCTTTATTTTATTGATTACTACCAATTTCTGCCCTCGTCTTCATTTTCTTCCTTATGCCCTGTGGTAGGCAGCCTCTAACATAGACCCAAATGATCCCTACTTCCTGGTATGTGTGTCCTTGTGTAATTATCTCTCTCTTGAATGTGGACTAGATTTAGAAATTTGCTTTTATCAAACAGAATATGGTAATAGCAATGGGATGTTACGATATAAAATGACTGTTTCATCTTGGGGGCTCTTTTACTCTTCCTTAGACCACTTGTTTGCCAGTAAACAAGATGCCATGTTGTGATACAGTCCTCAGTAGAGAGGTTCATGTGAGTCTGCCCTTCTGAGACCTATCAAAAGACACATGAGTGAGCTTAGAAGTGGAAGCTTCCTCACTCAAGTCTTGAGAGAACTGCAGTCCAGCCAACATCTTGGTTACTGCTTTGTGAGAGACTGGAGCCAGAATCAAGCAGCTAAGCTGCTTCTGGACTCCTGACCTACAGATATTATAGGTCAGGAATGTTTGTTGCTTCCAACTGCTAAATTTGATGATAATTTGTTATGCAGAAGTAGGTAACTAATGCATACCCCATGGATTCCACACCCATCGTTATAATAATTTACTTACAAAAATCTTCAGCTGTCTACTACATTTCCCTGGCTGAATCACCATGCTTACTGTAATGGACAACTGCCCTCCCTGATCCGGGGCCCATGCAGCAGAGCATTATTGAAGAAATTCACACTCTCAGGCAGTTAGATGTCCCTGTAAATTTACAGTTACCAGGTTCTCATGGCCTCACCACACAGACTATTATTTATAAGTTCCCAGCTTGTTATATCCTATGAATGTTTTGTAACTTTGATTATTAAAAATGCTTCTCAACTCTCCAATTATAAGTGATAACCTTTTTTCACTTGTTATTTACAAAACAGATGTGATTAGATGGGAAATACCTTACATTCATTAAACTGATTGTACCTTCACCCATTTTCTCCTCTCTTCATATCTCCAGGGAGATGCTGCCCTTATCTAAGAAAACAGCCCCTCTACAGGTAACTTGGATCTTACTTCTGTCGGCTCTCATACGAATACTCTCTCCCTGTCTCCTGGACCACTTCGATCAGCATACATATTTTACAGCAATACTCCCTGTCTAAAAACTTCTGATAAACAACCTGTTTCTCAAATCCCCTTCATAAACAATCTTTTTTAAAAAGCTGCCACATTCACTTCACTTCCTCACTTCCCTCTCATTTCTCAATCCATTTTGTCTTCCACCCCCACAATTCCACCGAAAAATTCTTGTCAAAAATCACCGAAGACCTTCATGTTGCCAAGTTAAAGGGACAAATGTTTTTCTCATCTTACTCCAAATTTCAGCAGCATTTTAAATGCAATGCCCTCCTTTTAGAAACCACTTCTATTTTGGTTTCTGTTTTATCATACTCTCCCAGATAGACTTTTACATCACTGATCACTTAGAAGACACTGAGACTTTTCTCAGTGTCTTTTACATGTTCTTCCACATTAACTTGAAATGCTGGCTGCTTTAGAGGTAAGTGTTGGATGTGCTTCCCTTATTTCTCCACCACCTCTCCCTTGGTGGTCTAATCCATTTCCTAATATAGAATATCGCTATAAAAATGTATACATACATACACACATATGAACAGGCACCCCATGTATGTCCCTTTAACAAGGATATCTGCTCTGAGTTCTAGATTTTTAAATAATCAACTGCCATATTTAATATCTCTACTAAATATGCCCCACAGTCATCTCAGATTCAGGGTAATTAAAGGAAGATTCCTGATTACTCCAAAGAAATGTGTTCTTCCCTTAGTCTTTCTGTTTAAGGAAATGGCATCCCTATCCACCTAGTTATTTAATTGGCAAACATGGGAATGATGCTTGCTGATCATTTTCTATCACTCTACACCTAATCCCTTGACAAATATTGTTTGTTCTACTTTGTATAAGTTTCCTAGGGCCATCATAATAAAATTACACAATGTGGGTGGTTTAAGCAAAAGAAATTCATTTTTTTTCGCACTTTTGGAGGGCAGATGTCTAATATCAAGTTGCCTATTGGATTAGTTCCTCTGGGGCCTCTTTCTCCAGCTTGCACATAGCTGACCTCTTGCTGCCTCTTCAAATGGGGTGGAGGGAGTGCAGAGATGGGCACAATTCAGCTGATGATATACCCTCAACACACAGATCTCAAACCTAACCAGTTATTTCCCTTTTCCCTGCCATCTTTTTTTTTGTAAAGCATATAGTTTTGACCTAGTCTTTTCTTTTATTTATTTACATATATATTTTTAAATTTATTTATTATACTTTAAGTTCTGGGTACATGTGCAGATCGTGCAGGTTTGTTACATATGTATACATGTGCCATATTGGTGGTTTGCTGCATCCATCGCCCTGTCATCTACATTTGGTATTTCTCCTAATGCTATCCATCCCCAAACCCCCAACCGCATGCTACCCCTCTCCTAGCTCTACCCCCCAACAGGTCCCGCTGTGTGGTGTGTGATGTTCCCCTCCCTGTGTTCCTCATTGTTCAACACCCACTTATGAGTGAGAACGTGCAGTGTTTGGTTTTTCATTCTCGTGTCAGTTTCCTGGGTGTTGAACAATGAGAACACAGGCACAGGGAGGGGAACATCACACACAGGGGCCTGTCGGGTGGGGAAGCTAGGGGAGGGACAGCAAGGGGTAAGGGGATTGGGGATGGATAGCATGAGGAGAAACAGCTAATGTAGATGACAGGGTGATGGATGCAGCAAACCACCCCCATGGCACATGTATACTTATGTAACAAACCTGCATGATCTGCACATGTGCCCTAGAACCTAAAGTATAATAACAAAAAAATCTATCTCTAATAAATTATACTTCAAAAAATGTATCCCTTTAAAATCAAATGGAAAAAAATATTTAACTCCAGTTACTTCTCATAACACAAATAATGAAATCCAAACTTTTAATCGTGGCCCACGGTGCCCTACCTCATCGGATTCTTGCTCCCCTCTCTAAGTTCATCTTGTGCCACACTTCTGCTTACATATAATGCCCAAGGTATATTCGTCTTTTTTTTAAGTAGCAAGGACACTACATTTTTATCTCCTTACAATCTTCCAGTGTCAAGATCATTCTACCTGGAATAAAATTTCCTTTTTTCACTGCTAGGAGAAACTTTATAGGCCTGCCCTGCCTGGTTCTTATACCAGATTTCATCTTGAAAATTCCCTTTTCAGAGGTTTTCAATTTTTTTTAACCACCCAATTTATGGTGCTCTCTCCTTATATTCTCTTTCAAGGTACTTATCTCTTTTTTATTTGTACTCAAGTAAATATTTTTTTCCTTTTTAAAATTATACTTTAAGTTCTGGGATAAATGTGCAGAACATGCAGGTTTGTTAAATAGGCATACATGTGAGCATGTTCTCATAAGTGGGAGTTGAACAAGAGAACACATGGACACAGGGAGGGTAACATCACACACTAGGCCCTGTCTATCTGTTTTATTCTAGTTACCATTTTTATATAATTGGTCTTCATCTTTTTGGTTTTTTTTAGTATGTTAGCTCCATCATTACAAACTCCTGCCTAATATAGGGCAAGACACATAGTGAGTGCTACGTTTTCTATCCCTTAGAAAAAACTCACAATAACCTTTATGAAATCTAAAGACCCAAGGAGAATTTAGCAGTAAACCAAGAACAGAGTGCTTGGTTGAATAAGGCCATGAAGCACACACACTGCCTATCACCTCCTCAAATATTTTTCTAGCAATTATCTTACTAAAAATTTTTACATACATATATAGAGGCACTAAGTCGTAACATGGTAAGCGTACTGGAAAGTGAGCTTGGAAAACCAAAGTGTAGCTTAACCTAAAGCATCTGGTTTATACCTGGAAGATCTTGTCACAACATGATCACTTTGAGCTAATCCTAGCCCTTAATCTTTCTAATAATACTATCATGTTGTCTTAACCAAATCATTTACCTGAAATAAAAGTATAGGTGATAGAAATTTTTACTCTATGCACTGCTGGTTGTATTGAAGTGACAGCTAGTTAAAATATGTTGATCTAAATATTTATTTGTATTTATAATTAAATATTTATTACTTTATACATTTGAACTTGTGACCTTAAATGTGTATGTGTGTGTGTGCATGAGAAAGAGCATGCAAGAGAGAAGGAGAAAGAGACATGCATAAAGAAAGAGAGATACACAAAAAAAATCATGTCATAAAATAACAACAATTTATTTGTCTCATAAATATGCAATCTGCGGAAGCCTTTGCTGTTAGAACAGCTTGTCTTTTGACTTTCAGGGTCAGCCTGCACAAACTGGGTATGAAGATTCCTTGCCCAAAATAGCTCCCCCTGTGACTGGCATTTGGTACTAGCTGTTGGCTGAAAGCTCAGTAGGAGTTGTAACACAGAGGATGCAGTACCTCTTTACAGACCATTCAATAGGGCTGCTTGCTCTTCTACACAGCATTGCAGCTGTCTTTCCTAAATCAGTATTCCAGAATATAGAAAAAGAAATCTGTCAGTGTTTAAGACCTAGGTCACTAAATTGGTACAGATTTATATCTGACATTACTCTTAGTCAAACAGTCACTAAGCTTGTTCAGATTCAAGGTGCTGGTGGAGGGGACTGCACTGGGTGGGGAGAGAGGTAAAAAATCTCTAGATCTTAATGTAGTCACCATTCTCAATGAAAGGAATATCAAAGAATGTGTGATATGTGGTGTACACTCTGTTCACTGACATCTTCTTGCTGTATTCTATCATTTAATATGTTAGATATTATTCCATAATCAGTGACATCTGCAGATCTGAAGTGCTTTCCAAGAAGTCAGTGGCCAGTGTTTCAACATAGTGTCAGTAACATACAACTAGAACCATTTCTCCATTATAATGCAATACGACTGAAGGATTGTAAACACAGTGTCAGTAACATACAACTAAACATGCAAACTTCTAGAGGGCAGGGATATTATTGTATGCCATAATATCAGCGTTTGGGCAGCACTTGATAAATATTGTTTGCCTAGCTCACTAATTGAGATCCTTTTAGTTGTTATAGAATGTTATTCAACCAAACAATCCATATTTATATTTCCTTTCTTTAGGAACATGATAGGTTATTTCAAGTACCTTGTTAGAAGAAGAAGCATATATACTATGCTTATAACAGTCCTGTGATATCCCTATCAGTGGTTAGATTAATAGTATCGTTTCTTAGTATAGCCATGCTGTGTCTGTTTATCCCCATTTTGTTTACTATACATTCACAAACCACCTATTCTGTAATATATTTTATAATTTTTACAGAGGTTAATATTAAATCTAAATGGTTTATTAAATTTAATAAACTACAATTTCTAGAATTTGGCCCTTTTTCCCATTTAAAATACAGCCAGTATTTATCACTTACTACTATTTGTGTTCTCTGCCAACCTATTTTCCAAGATTTTTCAAACATAGTTGGACATACTTTAATAAGAACACTTATACTTTCTTTAAATATACTATGATATAATTCGTGTAGTCCAGGACATTTGAAAAAATGATAAAGTACCTAAGGATTATTTTATTTTCTTGATTTCTTCATTTTACTCTTAAACATTATTAGTCCATACTTTTAAAGTGAAAATAGTTATCTTTTGATTGAAGATGGAATCAAAGTAGGAACTAAGTAATGCTTCCTCCTGTCTTCTTATATCATTAAACATTCTGTGCCATAAAAGCAGAATCTTTTTCACATTTCCTGTTGTTTTTACACATTTGAAATTTTTTACTTGTTTTATCCTTCTTTATATGGGCTTCTTTCTTTTATTCTAATATCCTTAATTGTTTTAAATCTTAGAATGAGTGTTTCTACTGATACAAATGACTGACTTGTATTATTTTGATTTTAATTAATAAGTTATATATATTATCCATTTTCAACCATTTTCTTTTAATATTTAAACAAAATTTCTTGAAGATAAAATTTTTTATCAAAAATTTCAAGACTTTGGGGGGAAATTTGTTTACTAAAGTCCTTTATGTATATGCTGAATGTTTAATACTATAGAGAATTTGAAAGTCTCAATTATAGAAGAGACAATTTTTATATTAGGTTATTTGATTTTGCTATTGAAGATTAAATCTCAAGCGGATTCACCATTTCTATATTAACACTGCCTTTCTATAATCTTAATTGCTTTTATGAAGGGGAAAGTTGGTAAATAGCTTCTCAAATGTTCTGTTTTTCAAAGCCATCTGACCTACTTAATTGTCTCTTTCAATGTCAACATCTGAAATAATTTCTCTATATCCTAGAGTCCCTTAAGTAAAATTTCGAAGTTGATGCTGACCAGATTGCAGGCACAATGCTCAGGTGACATCTTAATCCTCAGGACATTAGCTATAAAGCAGTTATTCAGTGACTTAAAAAGAAAAACACACTGGTAATTTGATATCAATTATCTGAATGCATCCTCACATCTTTGTTATAGGAAAAGGAAATGGATTCAACATTCATTTTATTAATCTTTTTCCTTTTGTGCCTCTCTTGAATCTAACTGAATTAGAAATAACAAAAACTTCACTTTAATCTGTCATTAAGATAAGAAAATGCAGATCCACATCAATTTATTTAGTTTCCCCGTAGGCTACGAATGAAGTATCTTCATTGAATAAGTGCTACCTTCTGAATTACTGAAGGTACAAAACAGGGAGAATTTCATGTTTCACATATGTAATTGTATTTAAATTTGACTCAAAATTTTGTTTTTCATGCTATCCTCATTTCAGGACTCTTGGCAACAACAAAATATATACCAAGCCAATTTTTCAAAACTAACTTATAAATTCGGGAAAATAATCTAAATTAAGCCCAAATATTCGCAATGATGAATTATTCAATTTATCCACTCCCCATTACTCTATAGCAACTTCATCACAGTTACAAAATAGAATTACAGATTTTGAAAACCATAACACTAGAAACAATTTACTCCTGTGTTTCTTGAACTTGTTCCATCATCAGTGTAAATTGATGTATTCACTAAAATACACAGACCCTGGGTTCCTCCCATGAGGATTCTAATTCTTCAGGCTTTTTAGGCTTATGTTTTTAACCACAACCATAAATGTTTCCTATGATCAGACAAGTCTGGGAAATAATGATATACTTTCACATCCTTGGTTTATAGATAAGGAAACTGAGACACAATCACCAAGAACAAACAGCCCAGCATTACCCAGTGAAGGAATGACCAAGTTGAAATGAGAATCCAGGTTTTGGTGGTCTGTTACTTTTTCATAATTTCAAAATCATTTATATTTTGATATGTTTTTCTTTTAATTCCTAAGTAAGATAATTATTTATTCTTTTCTCTGGAGTACATTTATCATCATATTTCTTAAGCAAAACTATGCTGCATTATCTTTTCTTATTTGTTAAGATATAGGCATTCTGTCCTGGGACCTGCGTTAGAACTACTACTAGGCACCCTTCAATTGATGTGAAGCCACTCTGGTTACCTTGTCTTATCCTAGCTCAGACAGAGAACTGATCAAACATCTTATAACCACTGAGATTGTTGATGAGTACAATTGAAGACTCAGGGAGGAAATATAGTTCCTTTCAAATTAATTAATTAAAATTATAAATGGACTTCATGGAAGTGAAAGAGAACTATTCATAGAACTAATAAAATGTTATCAATGCACCCATTTAAGAAGAATGTTTGTTACACCTTTGTTCCAGCAGTACATATGCCATATGTGAAATCTCAAAGGAGATTATCATTGCCTGCCTGCAGTACAAAAATAATCAAAGCACAGTAGTGAAGCAATATAGCTTTTGAGACAGACCAAAGTTTGAATTCTGACTCAGCCTCCTAATAATGTTGTAGACTTGGAGAGATAATTTTACACCAAGTTTTAGCATTTTTTTAAAAAAAAAAAACAATTATTAAGGTAATACTGCTTACTTAATACTTATATAAAGATTAAGAATAACATGGAAAATGCCAAATACAGTAGCAGAAATAAAAGGAGCTTTAAGAAGTAGTAACTATTAGTGCTGTTGACAAGCACACTATATGACTCTGATTTAAACACAGAGAAAGTAAAAATGGATACGAAAGCCTCCTGTTCTCAAGGCAAAGAAAAGTTTTGGTCTGAAATACTGTAGATAGCACTGAGCAGAGTGAAGAAAAATGGTTCTATATCTCACATTGTAACAATGGTCTACTTACATTTTATTTAGACTAGAGGCTACTTGCCTTATCAAATATATCAAGCACTCAGCAAAGTTTAAAAAAGCATATATAAACATTTCTATGCTATGGTTTACTAGTTCAAATATAAATATTTAAGCTTAACTGCTTCTATGTATTTTTCAATGCAAAGCAAAATAAAATCTAGATATAGAAAAATATTTGCATTAGCAGTTGTCTTGAGGTAGTAACTTTTATGCCATGACATTTGGAGTCTGACTGGTTATCGTAAATTCTGAACATGTTTAAATTCTCTTCAAAAATATTATGTATATAATAGGGTTGATTTATATTTTTACAAGTAGTATTTAAAACATAAATCTGTCCTTATTTCTGAATATAATGCCTAGTTACAAGTAACATATAAAACCAGCATTCAGATACATCCCTAATTATGTTGAAGAATTTTTTATTTAATCAAACTTGGGTAATAAAAAATTTATCTATAATTCAGGAAAAACATGAAAATTTTAAATTCAAATTTAGATTACTTTCTGTGAAAACAGAAATAATAAACTATCAAAATATCTATTAAAGTATTCATACAATGAGAAAGTAATACTGGAATCTGTAAACCTACTTTTCATTCTTGATTATTTAAAAGTAATCACCTTAACTCTCAACAGTGGCAAAATAACAGATTCAAGGCATGTGTTAAGTATAACAACTTTCATGTTTTTGAAATCTACATGATTAAAAGTTTATTGAAAGAGACATTGAATGTAAAGTTTTATTCTGAGGTGAATGTTTCTAGCTAATGTCAGACTACCTATACCCTTCTGAAAAACACTTACAGCATATGACTTTGGCAGTATAATTGAGTGCTTCTATAATAAGTCTCAAGTAATTGGAATATTAAATTTCTGTCATGTGCTTACAGTAAAGAGCACATTGTAATAATCATTAAAAACTTAGATCATAAAAATTAAAATTTAAGGTTAAACTCTATAGCTGTTTCTAGGTACTGAAGTTTTCAAAAGGTGTTAAGTGGTGTTCTAGGATCATTACTATGGGTTACTAAATTGCAACATTCTTTTGAAGCAATTATTAAGGGGTAAGAGTTAATTTGTTACAATGAACAATATTTTCATTTCCTAAAAATTGTTGAATCTGTCCATTAATGCAAAAAGAAAACCAGATTGGAGGCTTTGGGAGAGAATATTATACATGTTGTGAGACAAATTCATCTTACTCTTCTGAGTCTTTATAAATAATCACTTTGTAACAAAGACATCAAATTCTCATGTCTATGCCCATGGAGTTCATAAAAAATTATGAAATTCCATTAAAATTCAGTAGGAATTTTAGAATCAGATCAGCTATCCTGTTAGGTAAAGAAAATTGATGTTGATAACCTGAACAGCATATGAGATCTAGAATAATATACCAAAAGAGGTTTCTTTCCTCTTCATATATTTTCCTCATGTCTGTTGGAATGTGGAATGGAAACAGATTCTACTAACAAACCTAAAATTTGATCAAATTCCTATATCATCCATTTGACAACTTTGATATTTTAATTACTCTTTTAACACAAACATTTCATTTCTATCTTTTCCCAGGATCTACAATTAGAAACTTATATCAAAGATGGAATTATTGGGTAAGATTAAAATAGCATTCAATTCTAGAGAATGAGAATTGAATATTTAAATGAAATCTCTAGCAATAGGAAAGAGAACTTATCACCTAGTTAAAATAAACTGGTAAGTAAATTAGCTGGAATCTTGTTACTGTAGTCCTATGACATAAATACATAAATGATGATAGATGGTAAATAGATAGACAGATAGATAGAGATGATGTTAATAGGAGTCTTCTATGTCTCCTGAGATCTTAGTAAGAATGTTTAAAAAATCCAATTTAATATTTGTTGAAATTACTAACCCCTCAACACACAATTTGACATTGCACATTAGACATTCGTGTTCCCAAAATTTTCTTTAATTGTAGCCCTGTTCCTTTTCCATATTCTTTTCCCCAATGATTTTCTCAGGAAAAATGACCAGAACATTATTTTATCTTCTCTTGCCATCCTTGTACCTCTGTTGTCAAATCATATCTCCAAGCAACTCACTAATGCATTTTTTCAAAGATATTTGTTTCCTCCCTGAGAAATGTCATGGTGCCAGCTATAAAGATAATTAATTTAAATATTATATAACTAAATAAATATCCACGTTGATACTGATATTGCTGATTATATTTTACATATCATCTTGGCTAAGAAGATTAATTCTGAAATCAGAATCCTGAGTTTAATTTGTAGTTTTGCCATTTACTCATTTAAGGTTTTTAACTTTTATTGAAACTTGATTTCTTCAGCAGTAAGGTGGGGTGGGATAGATAGTCCTCACATTGGACAGTTGTAGAATTAATTGTAAGTACTATAAATACTGATTGCGATCCCACCCAGTCATAGTCAGTTTTCTTAAATATAAAATGGAGATAATAATAGCACCTACGTCCTAAACTTATTATGCTGTACAAGAGGAAAAATGCAACTAAAATGCTTGCACAATTCATGGTTTACATTAGTGAGTAATATATTTTATTGCTACTACAATTAGCAATAAATGGCGGTTAACACCATTTCTCTATACACAGTATCTCTTTAATATATCTTGCAATTAATTATAACAAATGATAATTATTTATATTATTGTAATAATATTTTTACAAACAATATTAAACCAGATAGTTTATTACCAACCACTCTAGAATCAAGCATTTCTACTGGGTCCACATGTTCAAATTTGAGCATTAGCATTTATTTAATAGATAAATATAAAAACAGTAAGAAATACGCACTCTCCATTTCATGGTTTTCGATGTCCAAACTATTATTTAGCAGTAAAGTTAACATAAAAAAAAGATAATTTGTAATCCTTGCTACTCACACATCTAAGTGTTTATAATAGGAGGACAGTCTTCTGGGGATAGTCTTCATAAATTAGTGTTTCTTATAAAGTTGGATCCTTAAACATTGTGCATGCTAGGGGCACCGACACCAAAGAAGTGAAAACCCATGTATTACTTTTGATATCCCAAATGTTACCTACTAAGATAACCTGCTGTTGACCAGAATCTTTACAGATAACATAAACACTTGATTAACACATAGACTAGTATTTACATATATTTTATGTATTAATGACATACATTTTTTACTGTTTTTGATATTTCTAGACTGCATGGTTCATCACAGTTTTTTTTCAAATTGTCACAGATCTCCAAAAATTCTTTCAATATGTTTATTGAGAAAATATCTGGATATAAGTGGATCTGCACAGTTCAAATCCATGTTGTTCAAAAGTCAACTACATATTTATACTATGTATTTTGACAAGGCTAATACAGGGAGCAGTAAGACAAGGAAAACATGTCAATTATGGTATTCAACTGAAGTAAAATTTAGAAAAAATTTAAAATTTAGAAAAGTAAAAGTGGGTTTCTATGTATTATGTAGGAAGATTAGTGTATATCTATCATCTGTTAAAGAAATTGTGATCAGAAAGAGGAGAATAACTTAAATGGTGTAAAAGCAATTTCTAAAACTAAATAATTTGGCTAGGTTCATTCTCAGATACTTAGTTCAGCTCTTGAAGCAGTGACCTGGAAATAGTTCCTAAAGGTTTTTGCTTATTAAAATGATTTGCTATTATAGCGATAACACAATCTCATTGTAGATAGCATCTGAATCAGTGCGATACTCTACATCTTGCCTCCAAGTCTAGGATTTAAATTTTTTTTTAATACATCACTCTACTCTCCTGGCTAAGTTCATATCCTCTTGGTTTAAAGCCAATTTCTAATTGAATTCAGTTTGTTTAATTGCTCCTCAGAGATGTCCATAAAATGTGCTCTCCCAGATTTCCTAGCAGAAATGCCATTGTCTCTGCTCAGCATTCCCTAGCAGGCACAAAACTGCCATCAAGCTCTGTCTTGCTCAACAATGACTCTTTAATATGGTCATCTCATGTGCTTTGTATTTCAATTATAATTTAGAATGAATTAAAATCTATTTAAATGGATAGCCTCATCTCTTAATACTCGATGGAAATTCATTTCAGAACATTCTATCTCCTTAAGGTAGCACAGTAAAAATGTGTGTCATCCTTTATATCGTTAATTTTAATGTCATCAATTTTATTTCCCTTTATAATTTAATCCCACATTTTTATTGATTTTCATTAACCAAGTAAAATACAGTGATGTGTTTGTGTCATATACTCTTCATAACTGAAGCATCAAAAGTTTTACTCAAAGATAGATTTAAAAGTCTAGAACTCTGTATTCCAATATTATAGAACCAATTTTAGAATCAGGCATCTCATGAAAGCAAGTAAAGTTACTTTCTATGGTACTGAAGCATTTTATTGTTTTAACATAAAAATAACTCATGGAATGAAGTCTAAGGTCACAATTTCATTTATACTAATGATCATCATGTTAGAGTTTCACAATTTATGGTTAATGAAGTAATCCTTTCACATGTATTTGATCGCTTATATCAACTCTGTGAAAAAAAAATCAGCATTATTATTTCCAGTCTATAGATCAGGAATTGGTAAACTTGGGCCAAATGGGACCAGCAACATGTTTGCGTAAATAAAATTGTATCAGATAACAGTCGTGCCCAGTAACTTATATGTTATTTATGGCTGTTTTGCAGCTACAAAAGCACAGTTAAGTAGTTGTGACAGAAGCTATGGAGTCCACAAAGCCTAACATGGAATATGTAGGATGTAGAGTAGGATGGAAACAAGCACACTGAATCCAACACTGTTGGAAATCTGAAGCCTAATTTCATCATCAAGCAAGTGTTCCACATATGCTGAAGTTACTCTGTCTTGTAGCCAAGCATCTGAGATGGACATGATAGAGATATCACATTGAGATTTTACTTTCTTTTCTTTCTGCCTTGACAACTTACATTTATTTGACCCCTCAGATAGTAAATTTCGTTAGGTAAATTTTCATTATAATCTGAAGAAAACTCATTATTCCTGTTCCTGCTGACAAGTCATTTAGCCTGATTTGCAAAATATACCATAGTAAAGTCTTTTATAAGATAATTTAAAATATCACTTGCTTTTGATAAAGACAAACCAGGCCTTTCATCTTTCTGTTACTACAGTCCATTCTCTACTTTTTGTCTACCTAATTCTTGTAAACACTGACTCTACATTAGTCTTAATTTAATATTTTCATAAATTTTAAATTTAACATTAGAAATAATTTGTCCTATTTATGGATCCTTTTGAAAATATAAAATGCAAAATGCATTTTTTGTTGTTTAGAGATAGTTGGAAGACATACAAAATTTTAAGTATTTTAAATTGTTTTATTTTGCTAGGTAATTAAAAACCTCCAAATACAATGTTTTAATATGAAAGAGTATACCCCTATATTTTTGGATAAAAGCCACTTTATCATGGGATCTATGGATAGAATCCAAATAGATTGAAATCTAACTTAGAATTCCATTCCCTTTATTGTACTCTATACATTCATCCACTAATTTGATAATGTTTGTTAACACTCCTTATATTACAAGCATTATTCTAGGTCCTATGATACAGCAACGAACAGCATATAAAGGTTATCTGATCCCTATGTGCTTATACCATGTGATGCTAAGTGCTATGATTATGAATAAACCCATGTAGAGAAGTAGATAGTGATGGGGAAGCTGGGGTCAGCTGTTTTTTTACAGGTGGTCAAGGAAGTCCTTTGTGAGAAGAGATCCAAAGTAGTGAGTGCAGGACAGTTTCTGTGTGACCTCGCCAGTACCATGGACTGATTTTAATGCACTTGTGTGAGTTCAGTGAAATAGAGCACTCATACAAACAAGTTAAGTGAAGCAACTTCTCACTCATAGATTAGTAGGGATCAGTAGAAGCCTAAAACTAATGGTGAGTTGATCCTCCAAAAAAATAAATCCCCCCCTCAAAATGCTTTGTTAAAGTTATATATCTTACTTTTCAAACTTAAAAGCAATTGAATAGAAAAGCTGATATTACAGTATGAAACCATTTATGTAATTCTAAATTTCAAAATTATATTATATATACAACACAGAAAACAAACGTAACAGTTTCAGGATAGGGTTTGCCACTAGAAAAGGAGGAAAGAAGAAAGGAGAGCGATTCGGATGGGATGTTCTTAAAGCTATCCACTGAGTGTTATTTTTTGATATAATAATCTTTGGGACTACATAATAAATAATTGTCTTAGAACATTATTTTTAAAATCTTATTCCCCAATTTGGAAAATTTCAAACTGTAAAATTTAACATCTGTTAAATCTCATTATGTATTTCTCACTTCTTTCATAAAAATTAAAATTTTCTACCGATAATATTTAAAAATGCATGTATTTGGTATTGCTTTAAAACTTTTTTCTATGTCTTCACTTTTAATAGCCACATAAAATTCCATCATATGAATGTGCTATAATCTGTTTAAACCTTCAGCTATATGTGATCATTTTGAATGTTTTCGATATATTGGTACTACTAACCATCTTGCAATGGTAAACTTTTTACCAAGTATTACTGATATTTAAAAATAAATCCCATCTGAGTGAAAATGATAAACATGTCTAAGAATTTTTGTATATTTATATTGCCAACTTATCAAATGCCATAAATGAGTCTGTGTTGATTTATAATCTAAATAACTATGAAGGAGAGTGAAAAATTTAATAAACCATCTACCAAGCAGTAGTTAGTCTTTACATAGTTTTCTATCGATATAAAATTAAGACAAGTCATCATTTCTTAAAATACCATTTAGTGAGGATTAATTTATTTTTCTGTGTTTGTTAACTGTTTACACTTCTTTAACGTAGTACAGCAGTTAATGGCAAGGCCTTCACAATCAGAGATAAGTAAGTTTGAGAACAAGTTCTGGTATCATTGTATGTATTCCCCTAGATGAGTTAATTTATCTCTCTTGGTTATTATTTTCTTTTATGCACAAAATGTGTTTTATTAGTTTATTAGGGCTGCAGTGAACAAACAATGAACTAGATGGCTTACAGACAGAAATTTATCATCTCACAGTTCTGAAGGATAGAATTTGAAATTCAGGTGTTGGCAAGGCTGCTTCCTTCTGAGGGTTATTAGGGAAGGATCTATATTTTCCTTTCCAAAATTTCTAGACAATTCCCAATATTTTGTG